CGACTTATTTGAAAGTCGTCTGGGCAGACGACTTACGAGGGCTAGAAACGTAAAAAAAATTCGCGTTTTTTGTTTGTTCACAAGGAGTTGGTTGTAATTTCAATAGCCTTTTAAGTTACTTTTGCATTTGATTCAAGTTTGGGTTTACTTTTGCATTTCAAATCAAGTTTTGAGTCATATTTGGCAATTTTCCCTATATTATGACTTAGATTGTCTGAAAGTATGTTCCAACATGTTACTGTCTTAGAATACCTTTAGAACAGCAAGATCATTGTCTGGATCAAGACCCACAATTTTCCCTTCCTTGGTAAATTTTGTTCCCATGGCATCAACTAGGGAAACCTGGACGAGAACACAAAACCATGATTTGCTCACTCATAAGTTACTTCCTTTGTGTGTTGTTTTTATTGTGCTGCAAATGGATTTAAAGAAGATGGGAGACCTTACAACGTTGTAATCCACTCTGATCAGTAGCTAACTTGGCAATCACATGATAATTTGTCACCTACAATTGTACAACAAACAAGTTTTTTTCAGTTTTCCAAGAGTTCAGACAAGAGACTTGAGGTTTGGTAAGGGCTTTTCATCATTTATGCGTACAATGTGACCAAGCTTATCCCAAACAAAGCCAGAACCAGTCCCTTCAATCTTTGCATTATCCTCAGCACTGGATTCATCAGAAGACGTTTTAGGAAGCTCAATGTCTTCTATGAACACAACAGACGATGAAGTTTTCTATCAAAAAAATCAAAGTTGAGATTTTTATTTTCTACAAACAAAAAAAGGGAGTTTCAAGATTTGTCAAAAAAAACCTGAAAGAGGTTGACATTTCTCTCTTCTGCCTCCTCAAGCTCCTCTTCTTTAACTTGTTCCAATGCGATCGCAGATTCCACTGGAAACTTCTGTTGGTTGGAAACAAGCAGAGACGACGCGAGAGCCAAACTCGAGCCAAAGATCACTGTTCTTCTTCTTCTCTGTTCATGGTTTGAACAGGAGCAAGCTAACACAAGATTCGAACGGTTGGATGATGTGAAAGTAGTAGAGATTGAGGAAAAAGCTTTGGAAGAAGCAAGAGCAATCATGGCTTCTCAAAGCTCTCTTCCTACAATGGCTTTCGCACTCACTCAACCAACCAACTAACATACAGAGCCACAGAGGAGATAAGGTGGATGGAATAGGGTCCGTTTTTTTTTTCCCGGTTCGCGTACCGGAAACGGTTCTGGTTTTAGTTTTAAATTTATCCTTTTACAATCTCTTAACCGGGTTAATCCTAATCATCATCATAACTTTGAAACAAAGAGATGTGGGAGATGATGTTCAAAGTCTCCACTAGATATACATCTCGTCTACACAGTGTCCACTAGGTAAAATATCTTTTGCTAGTTACTATAAAATGTAACTTTGTAATTAAAGGTAATCTAAGTGCATTTTTTTCTAGTGAGAAACTGATCATGCTTTGTGATTATATCCAACTTTTCACATCTCTATCAAAAAAAAAAATCTGGCTAGATCTGTAAATGTTGAATATAAAAACGAGACACGTTGCAAATATGGAACTATAAAAAAAGGTAAGAAATCATTTCATTCATATAATTTTTTTTATTAGCGTCCATGCATGCATTTGCTTTGTATTAAAAAAAAAAATATTAAAGAAAGTTAGCTGCATCACCACAAAAATATAACTTTGGGTACAGAGACGTATGTTTATTTTTGTGATTTATGAGTGTGTGACGTCAATATCAGAATATCCAATCCAAGTCATTATTTAAATTTTTTCTTAGTCTTGTTGTGTTCTTCAATTCGCCACCTTCTCAAGAACACCAAGTCCCTCTCTGTGTAATCCCGCGCAGAAATTACAAAAAGAAATGGAGATAAGGAACGTGATGGAATTCGAGAAGATGGCAAAGGAAAAGTTACCAAAGATGGTTTATGATTACTATGCATGTGGGGCAGAGGATCACTGGACTCTTCAGGAGAATCGTAACGCCTTCTCCAGGATTATGTAAGAGAATCCATATGTTCTTCTTCTTTTTTTCTTTAATTGTTTTAAGCATTGTTGGTCATGTGTTGCAATAAAAATCAGGTTTAGGCCTCGGATTCTGATCGATGTAAGCGAAGTTGATGTGAGCACAAGGGTTTTAGGGTTTAACATCTCTATGCCAATCATGGTTGCTCCTACCGCAATGCAGAAAATGGCTCACCCTGATGGTAAGTCCTTTTTTGAGTTGCGTAATGAGAGTAGTTGCTTGAGATGCCTTGTACAGAAGAAGTAAAAGGCTTTGTTTGATAGACTGGTACTGTCATTAGGACGATCTTAGCTTTTAGATGTTAACAGCTGTATACATATATATATATACATGTTCACTATGTGAAATGGCTTGTTGTCGTTGCAGGCGAGCTTGCAACCGCCAGAGCTACTTCCGCTGCTGGGACAATCATGGTTTTGCTTGAATCCCCTCTCTTTTATCTTCTTGGTTATCTCCTTTTTGCATTAATTTTCTTTAATCTTTATTCTGTGTTTTTTTCTTTCAGATTTTATCTACATGTGCTACTTGTAGTGTTGAGGAAGTTGCTTCAACAAGACCTGGTATTCGTTTCTTCCAACTCTATGTAAGCATGCATATGGCCTTTTTAGTCCACGAGTTATGTATTTGCACTTTTCAATATTTTTTTTTGTTTTCTTGAGTATGCTATTGATTCACTCTTGATTGTAGTTCTTTAAGGACAGAGAGGTGGTAAGACAGCTTGTGAAACGAGCTGAAGAAGCTGAATTTAAAGCGATTGTTCTTACGGTTGATACCCCTAGGTTTGGACGCAGAGAAGCCGACATCAAAAACAGGTGAAGAAACTTCACAGCATTGTATAAAGGTTGTGACATCTTTTGCTTCACATGATGGATATTAACTTTTGCAGATTCACACTTCCTTTAGGTATGACTTTAAAGAACTTCAAAGGGTTAGATCTTGGGAAAATAGACAAGGTAAATGACACAATGATATAAAAAGCATACAAAATGGATAAAAAATCTGAATACTTCAAAGAGATATTACAGAAGGATGACTCAGAGTTAGCTTATTATGTTGCGGGTCAAGTTGATCAATCACTTAGCTGGACGGTTAGAATATGTTTCAATATAACTTGTTCAGTTTATACCTGTTATATATATATATATATATTGTAATTCTTTTGGCTGTTTGTTTTTTTCTTTTTTATAGGATATAAAGTGGCTCCAGTCTATCACAAGCTTGCCAATTCTCCTCAAGGGTATTCTTACAGCTGAGGATGGTAATACTAATACACTGTATCACCCTTGTTACTTTAAAATCTCAAAATGTTAAGAACATTTCTTTGATCTTTCAAAAAATTCCCAGCCAGGAACGCAGTTGAAAATGGAGCTGCAGGAATTATAGTGTCTAACCATGGAGCTCGTCAGCTGGGTTATGTCCCTTCAACTATAATGGCTCTTGAAGAGGTTAATCTCTAATAATATTTAAGAAACAGTTCTAAACAAGACTTCGGATATTTTTTCATTCTTGTTTTATAGAACTTTGAATTTGATTCGACCGAGCACATTCAAAACTCGCAGGTGGTTAAAGCCGTGGAGGGTCGGATTCCGGTTTTTCTTGACGGTGGGGTTCGCCGTGGAACAGATGTCTTTAAAGCATTGGCTCTTGGCGCTTCAGGTGTCTTTGTAAGTTTTCATTCATCAAAAACACTCTTTAGCTCTTGTAAATTCCCCCTTAGTTGGTTTGTCTCTTTTCTTTTTCATCCATGATTGCATTTGTCTCTCCTTGACTTTTACATGCTTTTCACATAGTGCCCCAAAGTTTTTAACTAGTCAAAATGAAGGAAATGACTATATCACATTGTTAGAGTATATAAGTAGTCTCACCCGGTTACATGATAAATTGATAATACACATGACATGTAACTAATTACTTGGTCGATTAGGTTGGGAGGCCAAGCTTGTTCTCGCTTGCAGCGGAGGGAGAGGCGGGAGTGAGGAAAATGCTGCAAATGCTAAGTGATGAGTTCGAGCTGACAATGGCACTAAGTGGTTGCCGTTCAGTGAGAGAGATCACTCGAAACCACATCAAGACCGATTGGGACTTTCCTCATTACCTCCCAGCCAAGCTATAAGAAAAAAATAAACATATTTTCACTTCTTGTAATAGTCAACGAGGATAAAGAAAATAGAGATGGATGTTTGAATTTATGAACCAATACTAGCCTAGTCAAATCAGAACTAGTTGATACTCTATTTTTTTTTCTTACAGTTACTTTTGAAACTCTTATTCCATTACAATTTGTTTTTTTTTTGGGTTAAATTTATTATGTGTTGTTTCTTGGGAACGAGATCAACATGTGACAAGCACACACACATACACAGAGACGTGCTTATTTTATTACGAGTGAGTCTATATTAAGAATATATTCAAATTGTTGGGAGTATTCTATTATTCACCACCATCTCAAGAACATAAGGTAAGCTCTCGTTTACTGTACTGTTATAGTTTGACTTTTTAGTTCCACTCATCGTTAATATTTTCTAAGTTTCTTATATTCAAAGATTATGGAATCTAGAGAAAGTGATTTTGATGATGTTTTCATTATATAGGAATTTTTTTTCTGACTTGTCAAAGAAAAGATGGAGATAACAAACGTGATGGAATACGAGAAGATCGCAAAGGAGAAATTACCAAAGATGGTTTATGATTACTATGCATCTGGTGCAGATGATGAATGGACTCTTCAGGAGAACCGAAACGCCTTCTCCAGGATTCTGTAATGTTTATTTTTTTTTCATTTTTGCTTTTAAAAATGGTACATAAGCATTGTGGAAATTTTAATTGTTTGTGGTCATGTGTTTGGAACAAAAAAAAAAGATTTAGGCCTCGGATTCTGATCGATGTAAGCGAGATTGATGTGAGCACAAGGGTTTTAGGGTTTAACATATCTATGCCAATCATGATTGCCCCTACTGCAATGCAGAAAATGGCTCACCCTGATGGTAAGTCCTTTCTCTGATAATGTAAACAACAAGATCTTAGCTTATAGTTTTTTTTTATATGTATGCATGCTTATATTAACTTATAGAATACTTGTTATCGCTACGTGAAATGGTTTATCAAATTATCAGGAGAGCTTGCAACTGCGAGAGCTACTTCTGCTGCTGGAACAATCATGGTTTTGAATTATTTTTCTCTCTTTCTCACCTTAATTGATATCTTCTTCATGTATTCATTTTCTGTATTAATTGGTATTTCTAGACTTTATCTTCATGGGCTACTTGTAGTATTGAGGAAGTTGCTTCCACAGGACCAGGGATTCGCTTCTTCCAACTCGCTGTGATTTTCAGAAAACCTTTTGTTCTTTTATTTATTTCTTTGGCTTGAACTTGATATTGATTCTTTCTTGATTTCAGGTATATAAGGACAGAGATGTGGTTAGATGGCTTGTGAAACGAGCTGAAGAAGCTGGATTCAAAGCGATTGCTCTTACTGTAGACACCCCTAGGCTTGGACGCAGAGAATCAAACATCAAAAACAGGTGGTGAAACTTCTCCACTATCACATGAACCAAGACTTTAGATCCTTCCGTTTTCTTGATTTATATTATTTTTTTGCAGATTCTCAATTCCTAGAGGTATAACGTTAAAGAACTTTGAAGGGCTGGATCTTGCGAAAATATACAAGGTAAAAATTTCACAATGATTAAACGCAATGGATCTAACTGCTCAATAACTCAGCGCCACCTTTCTTTAATTTCTGTTCATATTTTCAGACCAACAACTCAGGGGCAGGTTCATATATTTCAGGCCAGGCTGATCAATCATTTAGCTGGAAGGTCAGAATCTGTAACAAAGCTTGTGTAATAGTGTCTCCTTTCTTAATAGCTGTTTGTTTTCTTTCTTATAGGATATAAAGTGGCTCCAATCTATTACAAGTTTACCAGTTCTTCTCAAGGGTGTTCTTACAGCTGAGGATGGTGATACTCTGCATCAAAAAAATTTCACATTAAGATTTCATAAAGTAAAGAATATTTCCAATGATCATTAACCTCGAAATTTTGCAGCAAGATCAGCTTTGGAATATGGATCTGCAGGGATTATAGTATCTAACCATGGAGCTCGTCAGCTAGATTATGTCCCTGCAACTATAATGGCTCTTGAAGAGGTTACACTCTAAATGGATTTACTGTTATAAATAAAGACAAACTTCTTTTTTGGAAATTTTAGTTTCATACCACTAGAGCAAACTCAAATAGCAGGTGGTTAAAGCAGTGGAAGGTCGGCTTCCTGTTTTTCTCGACGGTGGGGTCCGCCGTGGGACAGATGTCTTTAAAGCATTGGCTCTTGGCGCTGCAGGTGTCTTTGTAAGTCCATTCGTTATTACCTAGCTAGCTCTTGGTCCCTTATATTTTCAATTTCACATGGAATAACCATTACTTCTTTTTTTTACCATAGGTAGGCAGGCCGAGCTTATTCTCGCTTGCAGTGGACGGAGAAACGGGTGTTAATTAGTAAGATGCTACAAATGCTAAGAGACGAGTTTGAGCTTACTATGGCTTTAAGTGGGTGCCGTTATTTGAGAGAGATCAGTCGAAACCACATCAAGACTGATTGGGAGATTCCTATGCATTACCTCCCGGCCAAGCTATAGGAGATCTTTCTTTTAAACAGTCATCAAAGTGAACGAAAAGAGACGGTGCAACTTTGTAATAGATTTCATTGAGTAAAAAATTGGATAGGAAAAGATACCAATGCCCTAAGGAATATAGGAAATTAAAAGATCAAAGACAAACGAAGTTACTTTTGTCAAAAAATAAAGGAAGCAACCCCACTTCCAATATTTTTTTTGAGTAAAAAGTTTAGATGATTTCTGGATTTATGTGTGTCATCTTTGAGCAGTGGTCTTGTTAATTTTTCTATATTATTCCAATTTTATCGGATGTTTCCAAAGAGATCCACCATGAGGTGAACTCACAGCTAAAAAGGGGGGTGGGGGGGTGGGGTCAGTTGATACTCCTAAAATTGTAGAAGTGTGGTATGTTAAAGTTGAACATTAAAAATCTGTCATCTCCAGTGGTTCTTATATTATAGCTGACCCCCATAATTTGTGTTCAAACCTCTCTGACATCTTAATTTTACATCTAAAACTTAAAGTCCATTTAATTTTGATTCATATTTAAAATCATTCTGGGTCGATCACTCATCCACCTCCAATATTTCAATCGCTTAAATTTTCAATTTCACATAATATAACCATAATTGTCAAAACAAATGAACGAACATAACTGATGAAAGAGTCTCTCGTAGGCATTCTACCACTCGAGTCACTTCTCACTAAAAGAAATTAATATTTATAATGTTCGAGTTTCCGACAAATTCGTGAAACCAACCGAACATACGAAAGTAATACATGGTTATATCTTTACTGTGTTACTGTTTGCTTTGGATGACGACCATCAAAGAAAACAACAATTTAATTTGGTCGAAATAATTTGGACGAAAACGAAAAAAAGCTACAATGATTAACCATGCAACGTCTGTAAAGAGTCTAAAGACCATGAGGTCCATGACATCATCATCATACATTTATCTGATCTGACAATCACAGTGATCCTCATTTCTCATCGCTTTTTACTCATCGTATATAGCTAGGGCTGCAGCTAAGTTTAGATATACATATTCCTATAAAAGGGTCGATGCATGCACGAACGCAAATGATCCTAGCCAGGACCCATATATAATAGCATTTTATATAACATATTATATACTTGACATCGTTTTACTGATTTTTTTTGTTTGTTTCCACTTTGTGCTTAGCATTTCTAAATCTTTATACTCTTTCATTTTATTTTAGTTGTATATATCGTATTGTAAAGTTTTAATTTTTGGTAAAATGTTAAATTATACCAAATTTTAAGTTTTTGACAACGATTACAAAGTTGATGAGCACCAGAGAACGGAAATTAAACTACACAGCAAAACACAACAACGAAAGCGAATTTGACTAGAAACCGAAATGGGAAAGCTAGTCTAGCAACCAGCAGATCGAGCGAAGACCAAAGTGAACTAGAAAAGTTGGAGAGAAGAAGACAGTTGCCACGAACTACCTAGATATAGGTATCCTTAAATCTAGAAGCTGCGGGTCATGCAGCTTCCGTAACCCGACCCAACACAAACCGTCTCAAAGAATCAAAGCACGGACCTATCCAAACCTGACCCCTCGTGACGGATAATATATGTCTGTACTAAGTAAAAGAATACGATACACGTCCAGATAAAGTCCATATATAGTTAGGAAAATCGATAAAACCTACAAATTACAATAATTATTATAATTGATTCATGAGTTCACTTGAATCCACAAATGTGCCATGAAACCCATACGGTACTCTAGACGGTAGTCTGATCGTAGCTTCAAGCTTTAAATTAACGGCGTTAATAATCAGAAGTTCGGACATCTCTTTCTCTTCGTCGTGAACGTGACAAAATATATAACCGTCATCTTCATTTTCTCCACCGTTAACAGAACCACTAGGCAAGAAAAACGGTTCCCCACCATACTTTTCACTGCCGTAAAAATACTTTTCCATCTCGCCGGTGAAAAGATCAACCTTAGCGAAACCGGATACTTTTGGCCAAGGATCAGCGATAGCCAGAAACGCGAACCGCGTTTTTCTACCTAACCGGTTCCGGTTTACCATACCGATCTCCAAATTCACCTCCTCATTCAAAACCGCGCGGCGCGTGGATTCACGCGTCTTGAGGTTTATCCTGATCTCAGTCAAGACGCTTTTCAAGCTCTCGTCTCTCTCGTTGAAGATAGAATCCGCCGGCGACATACACGACCCGATCACCACGACCTCCTCACTCTCCGGCGATTCCCACGCGTTCCAGAGATGGAAACAGAACGTCTCCTCCGGAGAATCCACCCAGATTATCTCCGCCGCATCCGTCGCGTCTTTTGGCATTATCCCCAACCGCGAAACCTTTTCGTCGTCGAAAACCACCGGCGAGTTTCCGGCGATCATCTCCCCCAGCTTGAACACGACTTGTTGATCCGGGATCACCACGAAGTTCTCCGTTATAGCGAAATCGTGAATCATCGTCGGAGTCTCGAGCGGGATCTCTACTTCCGGCGATTTAACGCCGTCCGGCGAGAATTTGAAGTACTTCAAGTAAGGCTTCTTTACGACGTCGTAGCTTAGCGCATGGAGCTCCTTCGTAACCGGGTCGAGTTTCGGGTGGGCGATCATCGTGGATTTTAACTGACCTTCGAAATCGTAACGGCCAACGGTTTGGAGATCACCGGTTTGAGTTATTTTTAATTGATACGGTAAATCGTCTTCTGACATCGCTAATAACCGGTTATTAAAGTAAACCAAACCGGCGTTCGCTACTCCGACGCCGTTTTGGTTGTTGACTAAACCGCAAAGCCCACGTGCGTAAAAAAGCATCAGACGTGCGATTCCCGAGTGGCCATGAAGCTCCCCGATTGCTTTCGGGAAAACCGGTCGACCCAATCGTTTCTCTTGAATCAATCTCTCGGTTTTAGTAAACCGGCATGCGTAGCTTGCTGAACCGTTGGTTATTTTAACGGCGTGAACCATTCCGTCTCCGTCGAATAAATGGTGCCCAGCGATTGGGTTGAACATCGGATTTGCGCCGTTACGGACATAAACTCCGTTAATGCTGTCAGGGATTGTTCCTTCGACGGGGAGAGATTGTCGGACGGGACATTCCGGTACCGGAAAATAATTTCCGGCGATCTGAACACTTGGATCAGCGGTTTTGGAAAGGGGAGTATATTTCTCGTGGGAGATCAACGCGCGCTCAGCCGCGTCGATAGCAATCGCCGCCGCTTTCTGGAAGATGTTTAGTCGGAGGAAGTTATGCTGCGGCGGCGTCACGGTGGCTCTTGGTGTAAGTGAAGACCGTTTTAGAGGTTGGTCCGTTACGTCGATCTGCACCGTGCATTTAATCGTTTGCTGTCTTTTGATGGGCCTAAAGCCTGAATCAATTTGGGCTTGAGGCCATGTTATAGCACCGCTCGTCGACATTGTAAGCAGAGAAACCATGGCTTCAGTTTTGGTCTTCGTTAGAAAATTTTGAGACAGTGACTGTATTTTGTGTTCTGGTCTGAAAGGAAGGTTCGATGATTTGAAAACACAGAAAGAGAAACTATATATAGAGTTGGGTTAGAGATAGAGATAGAGAGTAGTCTCTATATATAGTACATGAAATAATATGGAAACAAAAATTAAGACTGAACAGTTTATGAGTGATTTATGGTAAAATCGGGAAGTCATGAAGGCTTTTCACTAAGTCAAATTTCGTATCAGGAAACAAATCCTTTTTCTATATCATGTTTAGAAAACCATTTGTTTTGTGTTAAATTTCATTATTTATTAAATAATACTAATCAAAGTTTTTTTAAAAAAAGAAAATCCATTTATAGTTAAATTAAAAGAATTAATAAATAGAATGATACATTTCATATCAAGCACCCTGTGCTCCTGATAATCAAATAAGATACTGCTGTAAAAAATAATTACGTTATTATGAAAATTTCTAAACATATCTTAAAGCTCTCTTACTCCAAAAGTATCGTTTCTACTTTCTACTTTGTGAAAACCAACTTAGGCCATTGGTTTGATTAAATCTGCATTAATGTTCTTACACAAGGAAATTTTAATTAACAATTAACTATACATATTGAGAATATCATATACACTTTTAACCATATCATAAAGTCATTTTTTAACATTTATTGTTTAATAAACAAAAATATAACTTGTTCATAATTCATTTTGGTGTTATTCTAAAACTAAGCTTACTTAGAAAATAGATCTAAAAGGTAGTACGAAATCTCTGTCGGATGTTCGCTTTTATCTCATAACATCAAATTTGAAAAAACTAAATATTCACATTAAATCAAATCTGTTTAACGTGTTAATTTGTTAAATTTATGATGTAATTTTTTGGAATATATGGTATACAAGGTTGAACTATAATGATAATACATCGACGATATACACAAACACTATCACAACCTTTAAAGTTAAAACTAAAAATCATAAGTTTTTTTTTTTTTGTTGCAGTATCAGGTCAATTATAAGCTCTATATGTAGATAAAAATGAAGTATTTTTATTTCTAAATCAAAATCTAAACACTAAAACCAATAGTTGACAGCGCCGATTTTATAACATCAAGTGCTAGTTGAGATCGAGTCGTTTCGAATGAACGATCAAAAGATAACACCACTACTTGTTTGCATAATTCAATCCAGACTATCGAAACGATTAAAATCGAAGTGAAAATCTAGCTCTCGTTGAAATACAAATCGAACAATAACAATAAAATATTAGGTCTTCTAATTTGGTACTTATGGAAAATGGATGGGCTAGAGTTTGTCGGAATTCAAGTCAACTGCTTCTAGATAATTAATATTTCACATACTCTAAACACAGTAGTGATCTTTAGTCATTAGTCAAACACAGTCACAGTATGAATGTATAGGTATGCTTCATATCATGTTATATATAAAAAGGGTATGCTTTATATTCTATGTATATATATATATATATATATATATATATATATATATATTCCAGTTTTCTCTTCAATTAATGTGTGATATATAAATCCTTATAACCTTTTCTTTGAATACATTCAATATGTACGTAATGGGAATTTTGAAATTATATTTACATCTAACAAATGAAGGATACTAATTAAAATTTGAAGAGTAAAAAATAATATTAGAACCGCACGTTGTTGTTATGGTGTTTAACTTGTCATATCGTTCGCATATGCTTTTTAT